CCCCCCCCCCCCCGATCTTCACGCAGGGCAGAGATGGCTGTTGCTGTGCGCTGCGCTTTGTATGCCGCTGCCCTCCGGAGTCGCACAGGCAGAGTCCTCGGCACAGCCCAGTGGCAGCAGGCACGTGGCGTCATGCCGCTCCCAGGGTAACTGCAGCAGTGCACAAAGCACAGCCTGCAGCAGCAGCTGCCTCCACCCCACACATAGATTGGGGGTGGGCATGTGCTCCCCGGGCCTCTGCCAGGGTGCCTGCAGTGGCAGGAGCCCCCTGCGCCCCTGGACAAGGCTCCGATTGTCCCACCACCCAGCCCAGCCAGGGCCCCATTCACTGGAGCCACTGCCCCTGCCTGTGCTCCACTCCTTTCCTCAATGTGGGGGCCTTGATCTGCGTCGTCCCCCCCCCAGCCCCTTCCCCTTCATGCTGGGCTGCGATCCTAGCTGTGTGCACCCCTACTGCAGCTTCCCAGAGCCCATGTTTGGGAGGGCTGAGCCCCTTTAGCCCCAGCCTTCCATTGCCTATGGAAAGGGGCGGGGGGAGGGGACGAAGCCCTCCACCCTGGTCTCAGGCCTGTGAGATGGGTTCTTCCCCATCGTGTTGCCCAGCATGTCCCGTCAGAGCCTGGCACCAGTGGCAGCCAGCAAGACACACCAGGCGGCCCAGGGAGTTTGTGCTGGGCAGCAGGGCCCAATCCTACTTTCTATGCAGATCTCCCATTCCTGCTGCCTGGTGCAAGCTTCCCAGGCCACCCAGCATACCTTGCTGGCTGCTGCTAGTGCTCAGCTCCAGCAGGATGCACCAGGCAGCCTGGGGGGAGGGGTGGGGGTAGGGCTTGTGCCAGGTGGCAAGGGTGGAAGTGCTCCACAGAGAGTAGGATCAGGCCTTGCCACCCAGCACACATTATAGCAGAAATTAGCTTTATGGGATGCTGGGGGACTGGGACATAACTTGAGTCAGGAGGTGATCTGGGACAGAAGTTTCATAGACCAGTTTAATATAAATCAGATCTGCTACTACATCCACCCAGGTTTATCTTAAACCAGGTTCAGCCACTTTGTAACCAATTTACACGTGCTGAACTCCTGTTCCGTTACAGGTTTAAACCAGCTTCCAATCACTTATACTAGTTTCTATGCAACTTCTGTCCCTAGACAAATTTGTAAAACTCATCTGAAACCTTTACCAATTTTCTCTTATTAGGCCCAGATTTCATAGCTTGGAAGTACAACTTGATTCCCTCTTCGGTTCTTGAATCTCTTGTGTTTCTCTCATTCAGAGTTTCTATGCAATGAGCTTTTTGTGAGAGTCAGAAGAATCAGAACGGTTTTACCATTTCCTTCCCCAAAGTAATAATGCACTTTTAAAATAAATATTTGCTTGTTGGTCCAGTAAGTTGGAAGAAGAGCCTAAAACCGTTGCAGTTTCTTGGATGTTCCTCAAGAATTGGGAATCATCTATACTTAACATAGACTGATCAATACATCTTGGACCTTCCTCATTATTTTCTTACTGAGCATACACCTATTTTCCATTTGTTTGTGAATTCACAAATGTCCAAAGATTTGGATTTCGCTCTTATAAAATCTATGATTCATTTGAATAAGAGGTTAGTATATTTTCTGTACTCTCTCTTACTGAAGATGATATTGCCATTCGTACAAAATAATACAATTATTAATATACAGTGTATTCAACAAGGAAAAGGTGGTTTAACATTTCATTCAAATTCTTTTTATAAAGTGGCTTATGACTTAAAGTTATTTATCATTTTCTTCCTATAGATATCATGATCTACCAGCTGAAGCAAGATTGAACATGCTAGATCTTAAAAGGATGATTATTATTTGTTAAGAACTAAAGCACTGAATAAATCTCATATGCTTGCAACTTTTCAGCAGGTCCAAAGGGCCAAGACCATTCAGTTTAAAAGCTTTATATACTTAAAGACAAACACAGTAGAAGATTCCCAGAAACAGGTGGATTAACAATATATTCTGAAAGAATGGCTTCAACAGGTATTTGCATAAAAAATGCCCCTTTCTCCTCCACCAGCCCCTGATATGCCTTAATCTTCCCAGTGACATTTGATGGAAACTTTCAGGAAGACGAATACAAGTGTTAGTATGTGAAAATGGCATTATGCAATAATATTGATTGACGAAGTTAATTTGTTTTGGCCCTAAATGTTTGGTTACAACTGGGATCATAATTCCACCACTGCTCTGTGTGCACTTCTACTGACAGAGGGGATTCTTCTGTGGATTAAAGATTATGTTTGACCATAATTTTGCAGACCTGGAAAATAATGAAAAGATATACAATAGCTCATTTTTCTCCAAAAAACAAATGTGCTGCTTCCAGTATACAAGTGAAGTGATACAAAGCTACTGCAAAAACAGTAACTTTGAATGTACTTTGATGCATACCTGGACTTAAAAACACTGTCTAAAATGCATGGAGAATTTTATAAAGTTAAGTATGTGTTCTTAAGTACACATGAGAAAATAAAAGTTCTTTTTTATTAAAATAAAAAAGGCTTTGATACATTTGCATTGCAAAGATTTAACAGAAAATAATTTCTACAAACATGCTACAGTTACATACAGATGTTCCAAAAGTTTTCAGTGCCTTCTTACAAAGTTCAACATTTTGGCAAAAATTAGTTTTTCCTGTATATGCTTCAAAAGTTGGGTACTATAATACTGATACACAAAACTTCATGTAGACTAGGTTCAGGTGCATAAAACACAATAAGTAATAAAATGTAAGTTCTCTATAAAACATTTAAACATATTTAAAGTATAAATTTAATTAGATAACATGCAAATACTGCAATATTTCAAATGGGACTTATAAATATAGATTGAAATTATTTATAATTTTGCATCCAATAAGAAAATCTGTTATGTACAAAGTTGTAAAAATGAACACATTTCTTCATTTAAGTAAGGTACTGGCTTAGCACATGATTGTCATTTTACAAAAATGGGGCCCAATATCCTCCAAATACTTAGACACACATAAGAATATTTACTTACACGTGTAAGTTTCCTGGAATAGGCCCATGGCTACTTCATTTCCTTCATAATAAAATATGAAAATATATGTATTTACATGGAAAATGACTCAACAGTTTTTGGTAAACTAAGTAGCAGCAATTCATGTCTTTCAAAAATTGATGGTTAAAATAGGCACATGCTTATTCTCAATGATACACAATTGGATCATATAAAAATAACACTTTTGAATAATCTTAATACGGTATTTGCTTGCAGCTGAAAATAACTGTACAACAACCCCATAACCACAAAAGTTAGAATCCTGTACAGCATTTTTATGGGAACCAAATATTTTAAAGAAAACAATTATGCTTGGAAAATTATGATTAGTAGTTAAAAGGTGAGTTGTCCTTTGGATTATTTCAAATATTCTTAATTTTTAACGAAAAGGTATATATGTTAACATTTTTTTCTTGTATTTTGTTGGACTGAACTGATTCTTTCCTTCTGATTAAAATTTCTTGTTCACCAACAAGACAGCACTTCTGAATGTCCTTCGCAGTATAGAAAAAAATACAATGCTTACTTTGCACATTTTCTAAGCAGTTATGTATTGTATACAACTGCCACCAAGGTGAATATGAAGCTCAAGAATAGGGTGTAAAGCACAGGCATGGCTTTTATACAGGGAGAAGATATACTTAATGAAACTTGAGCTTGGGATGCAATAAGTGCTGATAATGGCACATGGGATGCTAAAGTTGGGCTGTCAGAATTTATCAGCGATTCTATCTTTTCTGCTTCTTTATTGCAGGCTTCAATCTAGGAAAAAAATAAATTAAAAAGTTAGTAATTCTCTTCTGAACATATAGAAGTTTGATATAAAATGTGTGATCAGCAAACAAAGTATAGGATGAGAAAGCTCTAACTGAATTATTCAAAGTTAGTCCAATTCATGTTCCCATGATCACTGTTAGAGAGTTTTTAAAAACTATCCTGAGACTACACTCTGTCCTCCCACTGCCAAGTACCTTAAATTCATAAATGCCACCATTGAAATCCCATGGGGGGCAAGAAATATAATCATACATCCACACACCCAGGAACAAAAAGCCAAGCTGTAAGTGATTTTTTAGGGATTTAAGTGACCAGAAATGCTACGCAGATGACCAAATCTGAGTAACTCAATGACCAAAAAAGATTAAAATGCCACCCTTAATGCATCTCCTTGTGTAATGTTGCATCATCTGACCCTTAAAATTCAATCACAAAAAGAGAGGAGGAAGAGTGCCCACCCATCTTTTGTATTAACAATTTTTCTTGGAGTCAAATGGGGTGGAAGAGGATTGCACCTTGGCGCCTAAACCTGCTTACACACCTAATAGGTGTAACAGAGTCTGGGCCTAGGAACCTGTTCCCCCACTGGCTCCCTTTGGCCATGAATACCTCTCCTTGGCCTCTCTTGTGTATGTCTAGTGCTTTTTGATCTACCCAGTCCCAAAGGATAGCAACCATTCTGCACAGTCAGAGGAGATACGGTCTCAAGCATAGGTAGTATCTTATAAATTACTTGTTTCAGGGATTAAATCAAGTAGATTTTAGTGCAGTTCACCAGGCCTTAGCTAAAACAATCAACTACATTATATTTTCTACAAAGTAGCAAAACAGGCCAGATTTCTGGCCACTGGTATACACATCCATGTTCAGTGTCATAATTTTAGGAACTCTTTGTCTGATTCATTTAAAATGTTACAGAATGATTTAAGTCTGTTTCAGTCCTCAGCCAAACCTTCTTGAAGACAATTTGATTTTTTTCTAGAGTTTATATTAATGGAGATGGGAGGCAAAATTAGGCTTATATTGGATATTCAGCCGCAGTCTTGACTACAACCAAATAAATTCAACAACCCCACAGTATTAACTAGAGGCTTCCAGGCATACAACATTCAAGGCAAATAAAAACTAGAAACAACATGGTTTTGCCATAAAGCTAATTTCTGCTACAATGTAAGCCGATGCAATCCCAGTCAAGTCAACTGAATTCCAGGCACTACCACTAGACTTTACTCACCCATCCAGGAAATGAACACACAAAATTCATTTATGAAGAAAAAAAGGAAACAGAATTTTTTTTAAATATACTGCAGTCTGAGGAAAAGGAATTGCCTGGGTGATATCTGTATTGCAGAAGGAGCAGAAACAAATTACAGTCCACTTTTCACCTCCTTTTTAAGCTAAGCCTTTATTTTCTTAAGAAATGCATGTCAACACAACCTCATCATAATTATGTGCTCTTACCAGAGCGTGAAAAATCTATCAGATGTACCAGCAAAAAGCCAAGGACATTTTTAAAAAACAAAACATGATATTTTACTCTGGACCTGCAGGGCTCTAATCAGCAAAATGTGAGAATGAAACAACTGCTTCAAGGAAAGACAGGCACTACTTATTTGAAGCTTGTTATTGCGGCTGGTCCAAGCTGCTCCTGGCAAAAACAGCGTAAAGGCTTTGGTCTTGGTTTAGTGATACGTATACAGTGCTTAGTATTGTCAACTCTATGTGTTTGTTCACTAGCACAAACGAGCAATACCACCACATGCCAGGCAGCACCTTGTGCCATATGGACCTACAGATCCCAAAAGGTCTTTGGGAACCTCGGAGCACCCTGATAATGAGGGCAGTAAGAAAGAGAGAGAAGTACAGAAGCGGTTCTCAGCAGGTGAGAGCTGTCATAGCTCCGTGAATCAATAGATTATGGTAATGTACAAACATCTGAAAACTGGCTGGTTGTCAACAAAATCCACATTGTATTTAGCATCAAGATGTGCAATGCACTGTATGTATTTAGGGTGAAATCCTGTTTCCCTTTACCTGTTTAAGTGGCAGTTATTTGAATTGGGATTCTGCTCCCTGGAAGGGTAAATCTGCACGCATAGACAACTACAGATCTGCAAAGCTGAGTACAAGTCCCAGAAAGAAGGGGGGTAAGGTTCGCCCATGTTTTAACTACAAAAGCTGAGTGCTTAGGGCACTTGCTTATGATTCCAGAGACCCAGGTCCTAAGGCCTCCTATACAGAAAGGGTTTGAATCAGTATTTCGCTGCTTTCCTAACAGCATTCAAAACACTATGGATGTGTATACATGAGCAGCAAGGCTGCTCCAACACACTGTAATTAGAGCAGACTCAATTAATCGAGTCTGTTGGAGTCCAGCACCTTGTGAATTAGCATCCCTGCACTGAAAAATGGTGGCGGGGGGGGGTTTACT